GTTACTAAGAATTATTCTCCATAATATTCTTCAGTGTATGGGGTATTTTTCCCATTTGGTAACAATCAGTGATATTCTGTCATGGAGCTTTTAACCATTCCTTCACAGTTCATTTCCCATGATTTGTAGGGAGTGTCCTGGCTGCACGTGGGAACAGACCAGCCCTTCATTTCCATCTCAATTGGAGCATTTTACCAAGTGTGGGCCATTGCTAGAGATGGTTCAGCCTTTTATCGGGGCTCGGTGTCTCCCAATAAACCTGCAGGTGAGTCCTGGTGCTTTCTCTTTTGCTCTGCCACAGCTGAAAAAGACCAACCTGTTTCACAGAGACCTTTCCCACAGCTGTGCCAAACACTGCGTACAAATAATGTGATGATTGTAGCAGTTTATTTGCTCTTCACTTGCATGATTTGAAGTGTTAGGTTGTAAAAACGAGCTCGCAAAAACAGATGAAGTGTGATGTCATTCACAGCTTTCTTGCACAGTAATGTAGCATTTTCAAGGCTTCTCATGCATAATTCTGTTTTCTCAGCCTTTAACTCAAGTATTTCTGACCTTCAGGTGACTGTTGGTACCATATTCCTTCACCTCAAAAACAAAAGTTAAAGCAAGTCTCAGTAGGACGAACATCTGTGTTTGTCTTGGATACAAATGGTAAGGATTTTAAAAAATTATTAGTTAAAAAAATGCATCAGTATACACTGGACTGATTTAAAAAGGAGAGGCTAAGTTGGAGCTGGACAGATGATCAGTGGTGATGCTCCAAGAGGAGGAGTATTCTGTACTGAAAGATTTGGAGTGGCAGTGCACTGAAGTACTTGGTGTCTGTTAGAGCTGAGAGTGCCCTGGGAAACAGCAACCCAGCATCTGTGCTGTTCAGGGGGGAAGACACAAATGAAAATTGCATGGCAGGATCTTGCCTGGAACCCCAAATGTACAAAACTGAAGAGGGATATTTACCTGCTGCAAAACCTGGAAATAACCCCATCCTTGCAAGATAAAGCATGAAGTACCTTTTGTAAAAGAAACAAGCCGTTAATACCAGATTTAGAGACCTTCATCTTGTTTGATTTTGTTTTCTAGTGTTCCTTGTATGAACATTTTTCCCCAGGAAATTTTACCAAACAGTATTTGCTGTTTTTCAGAAAGGTTATAATCTGAAGTGGGAAGCTCACACATGAGCCAAAGCCATGATGCATTTCCCTGGGACACAGGAAGACTTACCTGCTGATCTGTTGTGGGTTTTGAAGCACTTCAAACAGCCCCCTGAGCTGTAACCAGCACTGTTTGTTTTCCAGGCAACCTTTGGTACCGCCAGGGAATCACACCGAGCTACCCCCAGGGATCCGCTTGGGATCACGTGTCAAACAACATCCGCAAAATGTCTGTGGGGCCCCTGGACCAGGTGAGGAGGAGGCTCCCTTGGATCTCATTAGTTTAGTAAAAATGATGCATAACATACTTTAGTAGTGAAGTGTCCTTCAAAATTATTTTTGTTTAGCTTTATTCCACAAAGTGTTGGTCTAAATGCTGGGATTGTGAGAGCAAGACCAAATTTGTACCAATGGAATGGTGCTCCAGCCCTTTGCTGTAGAAAGCCTCATGAATTTATTTTTTTTTAACAAGACTATTTATATATTTATATATTTATATATTTATATATATATTTATATATTAATATATTTATAAAAATACTTTTATATTTATATATTATATTATAAATATATAATATTTATATATTATTATATATATACATATATATATATTTCTTGCCAAGTCTTATCTGGCCATGTTTTAATTAGAACGCTGCTCTATAGCTTGGGTGTCTCTCTGCCTAAATTAGAGCAGTTTTGGTCTCATGAAGTGCAAGAGTGATTTATGGAAGTGGTCAACCAGAGCTTTCACATCTGGGAAGAGCAGCACATTTTATTGCCTGTCTTTGCTTTCTTGAGGTCTGGGTGATTGCTGACAAAGTGCAGGGCAGTCACAGTCTGAGCTGTGGGACAGTCTGCCATCGGGTTGGTGTCCAGCCCCTGGAACCCAAAGGCCTCTCCTGGGATTATGGCATTGGGGTAAGTGCTGGGGGCAGGACCCTGCCTGAAATTTGAACATCCAAATGTCCTCGGGCACCCAGAGGAAGGAAAGTGCCCTCCTGCCCAGCTGGTGAGTGTTGGAAAGCTCTCATGAACCTGCAGGAGATTGACCTTGGGTCTTCAGTCAGACTCCTTTATAAGTCAATATAATGGGCTGTGCAGTTACAGCTGGGAAGTTGTTTATTTGCATTTGATGACTGTTCATTTTAAATAGGGAATTTAAAAGTTATAATGGAAAAACTAGTAAAGTAAGGGCCATTTAAAAAGAAAAAGTGGGTTTCTTCCTGGTGTGCACGCAATTATTCCTCATTGCTGTACCCTGAATTATTCTCAAGGTTTCGAGAAAGGCTATTTCAAGGTTTTGCCCCCTTTTAAATTGGTGGAAAACCTGCAGTGGTTCTGCTATAAACCCCTGACCCTACTAATCTCAATTCCTTGTAAGAAAAATAATCCTCAGGTTTAGCAGCTCTGGAGCTCCCTGCCAGGGAGGTCTGCTGTGTTTTGTTTCATTTCACAAGGAGCCTTTTCTCTGATTCCTCCTGAGTAAATAGAACAAAACTGGTGCACACACAGCATCACATCAGCTATTGCACTTGCAGGGTGATGTTTCTCCTTCTGAATTTCTGGCTCCTTGTTTTCCAGGGTGGGTGGGAGCACATCACAGTCAGAGGAAACGCAACAGAAGCATCTCGAGCCGCTGCTCACGACACCTCCGAGGAAAACCACGCAGGGTCAAAGGATTTAGAAGATGAGGAGAGTAAAGGGAAATCAGAACACTCTAAAACCCCTCTGATGGTCAGTGAAGGCCAAGAATTGGACAGAAATGCTGTCAATTGTTAAGCTGTCACCATTTACATGTTGCAAACAAGCAACGGTGAGTGTAAGTGGAAAAGAAGCCAAATGTCCATTGCTTGGAGAGAAACACATGACCTGTCTGTGCTGCTGATGGCTTGGACTGAACTGCACTTTGCAATGGGGTATTTTAAGTACTGAATTCTTCTACTACATCATGTGTAAAATGTGACTTGATGGAACCCATAGTTTTGTCAAAACAGGCAAGGTTTTTTGTAACCACCATGTATTTCTGACCCTTTACCATAGCTGCTACGCCCCATCCAAATGTGAACATCTGCAGATGAACACTACATTGACTTCTTTTCTTTTTTAAATATTACAGTTCCCTACCTTTCTCTCATATTCACACACTGTTCTTCAGATTCCTGTTTGAGCAGAGATGGTGTTGGATTGATCTGAATGAAGGCAAACATCCCTGCTCCTGGTTTGTACCTGCAGAGCTCTGCTCCTCTGGGTGCTGCCTGGGTAAGAGCAGAGCTTGGATCCTGCTCCCATCAGTGAAATCCAATCCTGAACAACTCAGCTCAGGGGGCAGGTACCAGGAAGGGGCAGTTTGTGCTACCTTTGCTCACAGTGAGCAACATCTCACTGGAGAAGTGAACCCACTCCTTGCAGCCAGACTGTGGAGGGAGCACAGTCCTGCTCAGTCTGACTCAGCACTGACATCTGTTCTAAACTGTCACTCCAAAGGGGGGTAAATTGTTTTTTGGCTTCATCTTAACTGGAACTGTGATGCTTGGGGTGTACAGATGCCTCCCTAAAGGGGCTGGAAGGCACCAGACACTCGAGGAGTTAGGCTGTGTTCCAGATCAGAGCAAATTATGCCCTCCTAGTGTCAAACTCAAGAGAAGGTTTAAAATTCTGACTTTACAGTACAAAGGGACTTTTCTGCTCTCAGTGGAGTTTGCCAGTGTAACACTGATGGGGGTTCAGAACTAAGCTCAGCTCTTTGTTTATAGTAAGTTATTTATTCATCCCTTTTTCCAACAGGAAACCACTTTCTATTCTTAAAAAAAAGCTTTTTTCCCCCAAGTTACTTCTAATAATTGGGCAGTTTACATTCATTTTTCCTCTGTGTGTGTGTGACTGTATATGGAGTTATTTTTATATGATGAGCAGTTTGGTGTGGTCTCAGTACTGTATTTGTAGAAGTAAAACTTATGTCTGCACGTATTTAAGGAATATATTTGGTATTTAATGCCAAGGAAAGCACTGTTTCCAAGTCCAAATGTGAATGAAGACTGAAGATGCTTAACTGTTTCAAAATAACCTGTTGATCTTTCCAGTATGTGAGTAGAGATTTTGGATTTATACCTACCTTGTGGGAGAATCATAAATAACATGTTTGCATTAATTACCATTAGAGGTTTTGCATAACTTGCACAGTATCTTGTCCAAATAAATAACTTTATTACATGTATTTTTAGAGAATTATTAGGATTGTATTTTCCCTGCATTGTATCAAAAAGATTTTTTTCCTTTTACTAGTTGGTGTTTACATATCCCAACAATCAACCTGATTGCACACAAGAAGCTTGATAATGTACCTTTGCATTTTTCCCTACATTGCCAAGTTTTACTTACTTTACTGTAAATAGCTGGGTTTAAGTGGAGAAAAAAAAAAGATATGTTTGAGTACTAAGTATTTGCCTTCTAAAATGATTATTGAGAAAATTATTTAATTGAAAATATAATGTCATTGTTGTGGCTAGTTAAAATAAGGAAAAGTGACTTTAAATTAAAGCGATTTTGAAAAATAAAAGTAATTTATCAGAAAAAAAAAATGCTTCCTAAAAAAATCCCTTTGGGCATCTCCAAGAGCACAGCACTCCAGAAATAACCAAAGAACATCCCACATCTCTTACCTGGAGAGATGCTGAGTGGAACAACGGAAAGAAAAGGCCCTGCAGTCTCTGATTTCTCCCACTACAATCAGACAACACATAAATAGAGGTGTGAGAATCCAAGAGGAACTGAGGGATCCTCAGAGACATCAAGCATTTTACTGTAAGGGGGGGAAAGGGGGGAGAAGGTTGAAAAAAAAAGAGCTCATTTTCCTTTTTGAAGAGTTTCTGCATTTATTGGTTTATAGGACCAGAATCTAACACTAACCCCAAAAGAACACGATCACATCACAGGCTTCGTTAGCAAATAATTTAAATTGGCTAAATCATGTCTAACTTAAGACTATACTAAAGCATTTTTATCATTGTTTTGGCAGAAATAAGCCATTTGTCCCTTATTTATTATTTGTATTGCAATGGTAGCCAGACACCCACTAAAGAAAGTCTTCATGAGACTGGATGGTCTGGAAACACAGCCCAGAACTGCCCTTACTCTACAGGGCTTACAGCCTAAGAAAGCTTTGCAGATGTTTACATCAACAAGTATTTTAGAAGTTTTTATGCTTTGCAAGGTCCAAAATTATCAGAGCAGATCCCTAAAATGTAAATATCAAGATAAATATTCTGATTTAGTGGCTGATTTCCCATAGGGTCACTTCAGCCATCAGTTTTAATTTCCTCTGTGGCTGGGAGATCACAGCAGGCACTGCAAGGGTGGGGAACAGAATTACAGCCATGATTCCCAAGCTCCAAAGAACTCAGGTGACACAGACCTTAATGCTCAACTCACACCCTTCCCAAGGAAGGTGATTTTCAGAAGTTACTAAATCCTTACATTCAAGTCAACTCCAGTGTTACAGGATAGGTTTCCAGGCCTTGGCAAGCCCCACAAATATATTCATTATGCTCTGAAAAACTGTCATAGTCTAAGGTAGCTTTTTAATGTGCCATATAAACTGTAGCCAGGAGTGTTGCCTGTTTGTCTTTTTAAGAAAAAAAAAAAAACAATGAGAGTAGCAGCTAAGTGTGGGTGTTGTGGCTGAAGCTATGAATCTACATGGAACATTTCTGTAGATGTTCCTCATGGTCATCCTCCCCATGCTGCTGTTGATAATGTTGGTACAATTTGGACCCCCAGGTTCCCCCCACCCCTTCTGCTGCTGAAAAGTGTCCATTGGACATATTGAGTATAATGGAGGTCAAGGATTTGATGTAGTTTTTGGCCAGTGTGAGGGTCTCTATTTTGGAGAGTTTGTTCTCAGCCCTCACGTGAGGGATCACCTCTCGCAGGGCCTGGAATGCGTTGTTGAGCTTGTGCATTCTCTGCCTCTCCCGCTCGTTGCTCTCCAGCCTCCTCAGATGCCTGTCCTTGGTGCTCCAAGGGCTCTTGGCTCTGGCTGCAGACATCTTACTGCTCTCCTTGTTTGGCCCATTCCTCCTTTCCCTGCGGCGCAAACATTTCACCAGTTCTTTTTTTCTCATTGCTGACTCCTCAGGAAACGCTTCTTTGTCAGCAGTTTGCCTTTGCTTCTTTCCTTTGGTTTTAGTCTTCATGGTTTGCTGGAGGTGCTGGTGTTAAGCACCAATGTGCTGTTAAAACATGACACCGATATCTTTGACTGCTGCCCAGTTCCCCGCTGAACCAGTGAGCCAGTGCAGGCTGGTTTGATGCATTTACTTGGTTCACTTACTGGAAAACCGGCACTGGCTCTCAGTTTAGTGATGTTGGTCTTAGAAGTTGTGAATGTTGTTACTCAAGTTGACCTGTGCAGATGAACAGAGGAGAAAATCCTTTTTCAGAGAACAGATCCTCCTTCAGCTGGCAGGAAGATGTTACAGAGGGAGCAGAGGACAAGTGAACGGAACCACAGAAACAAAGATGCAGTGAATCACCCACTGGTGAAAAACAGATGCCTCTGCTTTCTTAGAAGGTCTCAAATTAGAGAGATTTCCCTTTTCTCACTGTACATAAGAAGAAAATGGTCTCCAAGCTAATCCAATCTTCCTGTAAAATAGTGAACCACAACTCCAAACACCTGTGGAGTACAATGGTCAGTCAGATTCGATAACGTTGCCTCTACTTTTTGATCTCATACTTTCCTGCCGTGTCACAACTCATACCCCACACCATAATAAAACCATACACTGCTTCACTCTACCTGTGGGGGGGTGTTAGACAGAACCCTCAGGCTCTTACTCCTGGCAATTGCTGTTTCCAGTTCCCACTGTGGCTTTGAGCAGTCCACTAGAGGGACACAAGGCACACTCCCTTCCTGAAACGGCTCAGACACTGCGAGTCAGCCACGTGTTTTCAGCTGCAGCATTTCTGCTTTCTGGGCCAGTCCCCCCCCCACACACAAAACCAAGCACTTCCCTCTTCCAACAATAATCCATTAAGTGCAGGGCTTAACTGCAGTTCCTGCCAGACCAACAGCAGCAGGGCAGGTTACTTTCCAGGTTATCCAAAAAGACACAGCAATGCTCCTTTCCCCTGTATTAGCAGGGCAGATGACTGCATTGATATTTTACCTTCCTTCGGCCCAGACTCTGTGCCCACCCTACATTTGAAGACAACAGCCTTGCAGCCACCCTGCTTCTGACTCCAACCATCAGGTTACTGAGAGACATTCTCAGAATGTTCCTTCTGTGCTCTTACACTTGATGTAGTCAGAGAAAGGTTTGGTCTAAACAAAATATATTTTTATACTGGTACTATTACACAGGAGCAGCTTGAGAGTTGGTGAGCCAATAAAAAATAAATAAAAGAAGCAGCAAAAGGTGCTGCCCCAGCACAGGACATCACCCTCACCTGGAGCAGATGGTGGCAGTTCCTGGTGTGCTGTGGTAAACACCACTTCCCCTCTGGTTTCTTGTCTCTCTAGAGTCAAGCTCAGCTGCTGGGCAGGCAGGGGCTCAGCTCTCTGCCTGGGAGGGCACCCTGCCCATCCCCAGCTTCTTTACTACCAGGGAAGCAGCTTTAGCAAAGGTGACAGCAACTCAGAAAGAGCTGGGTGAGGGTGGCACCCAGGTGATGAAAGCTGAGAGAAAGCACCAAGCAGCTCTGCTGGGTGAGCCTCAAAGCAATGCTGGAGACACACGGGTATCTTCAGCTTGAAAACAGGACAAAAGGCAAGCACTGCATTTGTTCTGGACTCTTTGTGTAACTCAGCAGAAAAGGCCCAACTGCAGGACAGCACAAAGCACTGCTGGGAGAGCTGCTGCTTGGAAGGAAAACAGCGCATAGGACTTGGTGAAGAAGAGTTCATGGAGGCAGCCAGGAGAGAAAGCTGGAAGAAAACCCAACAGAAAGGAAGGTTCAGCAAACTGTGGGAGCAAAATAGTCTTTAAAACTGCAGACTGAGCAAAAGCAGTTGGGATATGATGGGATAAGAAGGTGCCTAGCTGGCCAAGGCCTGCTTTCAGACTGCTGCTGTAACCCTCAGAAGAGACCTTATGGAGCCACAGGAGCTGCTGGGATCCCCCCAGGGAGGTGGTCCAAATGTGCAAGGAGGAAACAGACTGAGGAGAAGTTCAGGAGCAGCAGAATGGGGCGGTCAAGAGAAACCAAAGAGCGATAAGCAGCCAAACACCAACAAGTTTTTCCACCCTCTGCAGCCGTACATCAGGGCTGGCGTCCCTGCACTGTGACTTACCACTGCACCAGCTGCAGAGAACGTGCTTAAGGCCCAGGGGGCAACACAGCCGAGACCCGCGGGGAGGCAGGAGCGGCAGGAGGCTCTGCGGGGGCAGCAGGGAGCGAAGGCTGCCGGGTCCTCGAGCCAGGCTGTGTCAGCAGGAGCCTGCGAGGGAAGCAGGACTCGCCTGTTGCCGAGGGGGCCGCAGGGGCAGCGCTGACACAGCCCCGCAGCCCCGAGCCCCGCAGGCTGAGCCCGCCGCAGGTGCCGGCGGGGCCGCCCGACACGTCGCTTTAGCGGTGGGGGCGGGCCCGGTGGGGCGGGCGGGAGCTGCGGGGCCAGGCGGGGGAGGCACCGGGCACGGACACCCCGGACAACCCTCGGCACAGCCGGGGGCTCCGCACGGACACGGTGGGCAGCACAAGGCTCTTCGCCGGGTCTGGGATGGGCACAGGGCAGGGGGAGCAGCGCTGCAGCAGCGCCTGTGCCACTGACAGCACCGAGCCGGCACTGCCACACAGGACGTCAGTTCAGTGCCTCCTGCAGCAGCTGCAGGAACACAAAGGCTGGGCCAGCTCCCTTCTGCCAAGGGCTAAGCAAGTTCTCAGCCCCCGTGGGACACCGGCCCACAGACACAGCACTGCCACCCCCTGCAGGGAGCTGCTGCTGATCAAGGTTGTAAGTTCTCAAATTCTTCGATAATAGGTTCTATACAGGATGACCAGTTTAGTGCCATGGGATCTTTTCCATCTGCTCTCAATTATGATCGCTGCCTTGGTCAAGTTTCAGCCCAGCAGTTACATTTTACCTAACAAAGTCATCTTGCTATCAGCCTCTCATTCCCAGCTCTCAGCAGCTGCCAGGACTCAAGGGCTGTGATATGATGTGATGTGGGGGCTTCCCCCACAGCCTCCACTAACCCCTGACTGCTGCCAGTGCCCTCCACACTGAAGGAACAACAGTAAAACCAGCCCTCTCCTCCCGTCTCACCACGAGCCCAGGGTGAAACAGTCTCAGTGTCATGGGAAAGAAGCTCTCAATACACACAAGGACTGTGTTTACCTCTTTGGTCCATTCAGCACATGCACCTGGATTGAAAAACCAAGAAAATCTTCTAGAAAGAAATTCAATGACTACTGAGAAAACATCATTAACTTGCTTTCTGAAGAGTACTTACAAATTCTGAATTCTGCATTCTTCCTACTGATACTAAATTCTGTGATTAAAACCAATATTCAGTGTTTAGAATTTCAGTTTGTATTTCAATTATTGCTGTTCTACTGACTGTACACACATTACCTGAAGTTCTCACAAGGGTGATATTGGAAGAAATTAAAGGTGACTACATTGCTTAGTGTAGATTCATCTGCTGGGAGTATGGCTTTGAACTTTTGGTACTTTCTCAACCTCTGGACCCTAATAAATATATCTTACAGTGGAACTACACTCTGGACCTGATCCATTGCTGGCATCTGTTTAAAAATGAACAAACAGACAAAGAGATTATAAATATATAACTGTATTTTATTTTTAATATTAAATATTTTTAAATTACAAGCAGTTTCTTGAATCACACTATGCATGATAATCAATATACAGTAGAAATTACAATTTAAAAATGTACACAATTTAAAGACATTTTGACCTGAAATTTCATTAACTATGATATATTGCCATAAACCTCATACCTGTATTAAATTACAATAGGAAAACCTCATACCTATGATTTTGTTACATAGTTTCTCATTTACAAATAGAATTAAACATTATATATACACACACATCAGTACCATTTATCATTTAAGTTACACCTACATCTGTGCAAGTTCAAACAATTTCATAAACAAAACTAACTGTAAGTCATATTCAAGTTTCTGAAAAACAGGCTGCTGGTATTACAAATACTTATTTTCAATAAGTTTATATGATGCTTGACTCTCCTCTAGATTTCCTCCTGTTTTGAACCAAAACCATTAGCATACAAGGATATTTCTGTGTGACTTAAAGCTGAAGTAATTTTGTACACTCCATTCTTATTTAAGGCTATTTCTTATAAGGCTAAAATACTTGGATTCCACCTTTCAGCAACTCCAACACAAATAGCCATGTCACTGACACCTGACGACGCTGACATTTTAGGATAGTGCTTAATTGTAAAATAAAAAAAGGTCTCTCTACCAACCAGCCTCCTCATGAAAGAGATTGAGTACTACATAAAAATCTGCTAAAAATACTGATAAAAAGAATGAGGCTTAAATGGCTTTCATTAGTGCATCAACAAGGATATGAGAAAAAAAAATAAAACGTTAAATCCACTCATTTCATGAAAATGGCAATTTCCATAAATGCAGGTATGCACAATGTATCTGCAGCTGGGGGACCGGGGAGGGTACAGGTGTTCCCACTGAAACTGGACACTCTTCTCGCTCTCTTCGCTTCTTACTATAGATTCCAAGCTTTAAACAAACTTATTCAGGTGGGAAAAATCAGAGCTTTTAAAATATCTTTAGTAACCAAACTGAGACAATGCCTTCGTTTTTCAGACAATCCAGGTATTCTACTAGAGAAGGAATTAAACTGTAAGCAGTCCTCATAATAAACCATTGAAAATAGATACATGTACTTCTCAAAGAGAGCCCAGGCTTAAGTAGCTAGTGCAAGAAATTACCTGTAGTGAATGGTTGGTGACAAATCCCCTCTTTAGAATGGAACACATTGGAATTACTGATTCATCTTCATTGTGCCACTTGACTGCCAGGCAGATATTGAAGTATTGCTAGTAGTTGATCAGTATATTTAAGTATATTTTTCCCCCAAAAGACCATTTATATTATTGCAATCCAGCCTACTGGATTACTGAAATTAAAATCCTTGTTTAAACTGAGGTGAGTCAACTTTAAATATTTCTTTCTCTTCATTGTACAGCTAAAAAGGACATTACCTTGCTTAATATATTACACATCTAATTTTGGAAAAAATGCTCCTTTGGCAATTCATTAGCAATGAGTCCATGTGGACAAAGGAGTAAACTTTCACTTCCTGTGTAAGATTTTCTTTAAACTCAGGTAAAGAATAAAAATCTTGGATTCCCATCAAGCAAAGGAAATTCCTGATGTGCAAGATAAACATCTGATTCTCCAGACTTTTAAGAAACAAAATGAACCACCAAATTACAACATTCTGCAGTATATGCTTTTACTTAACTCTGGACTAATTTTGTAAATCAAATGATTCAAAATTAAGGCTGAACTCCAGGTCTGACAGGCTTCTCACCACACCAGGCAGACAAGCCACACGTTCTCTGCAGACCATTGTGGAATTTCACTCTTATTATGGTGAGAATTGTAAAGACAGATGAAATGCCCTAACTCTAGCTGTATCACGGAGTTTATAGTTGGAATTACGGAATTTCTAAGCAATAATTTGTGCACAAAGTCTATTAGCAATATTTTTAAATATTTGCAGTGCACAGCTTCCTTAAACCCTCTACAGTATATACTGTAAGCCTGTATTAAGAACTACTTGACTTTGCCTTTTAAATCATGTTCTGGGAAAAGTCCATGGGAAAATTCAGTTCCTCACTTCATACTGAAGAACAGTTCTGACTAACTCCAAACCTGAGTGCCTCATCAGAAAAAGAAATCTCAACAATTCATTGGCAACTTCAAATAACATAATAACTACATCGTTCCCTTTTGATCAGTATGGAAGCCATTCTGGTTAAGGGCTAAACAATGTTGGGAAAAAAAAAAAAACCACAACTGACATATTCCTGTCATTTTAAAACATATTTAAAAATCAGAAGTAATACAGAGGTATACAAAAAAAAAATTACACATCTGAAAATATCTAGTTTTCCCATCTTCATCTGATGCAAATTCTCTGGTGACTGGATCTGGACACAGAGCACTTGGACACCGTTAACTCAAGCCCTGCCAAAACCACCACTAAAATACAAAGTAGTTCGTGTTTCAGTAGATTTGTATTGTAGTGCCCTAAAACACAAACCCAGGTAAACTGTTCCTGTCAGTGTTTCCTGCAGATCCACAGCTGCATAAGGCATTCCAAGAGGTCAGGGATTTGTTTCTCAGCTGAACTCCCTTTGCAGTAACGATTAAGGATCTCTTTTTTCCGAGCAGTTGAAAGGGTTGAACCAGCCAGATGAGGGGGAGGGTGGGAGGGTTCAACCCCCCCAGCGTCTTCCCTTCCCTACACACTTCAGAGCCAACTTACAGGATTGCCCCCTTTGCTCAGGATGCATTTCAAGGTGTACCTTGCAGACATCTTAAAGTGGGTCTGGCCTTACCAGGGGTGCAAAACTGGGCATTAACCGTCAATCCAAACCTTCCCTGTCATCACATCACCGAGAGGTAGATTTACCACAAGCCTCTGAAGGCAGCTCCTTCAGAGGAGCTTCAGAATTCACAGAATGTACAACTGAAGGGCCCAGTGTGCCCAAAGCCAGGCTACTGAAATTAGTCTTTTTATAAGAGTCATAAATTCCACAGTTTTGTACAGCCAATTTTTCCTCTTCTTTCTCCAAGGCAGAAATTGCAGTAAAAACTGGAAGGCCCTTAATTGTGATATAGTCAGATGCTATTACAGTTTGAGCAGTCAGTAGGATCATACGCAGGAATTAAGAGACATTCTCTCTTTCATCTAAAAATTCCAGAGTATATCATATATTCTTTTCCAGTTTCCTATAAAACATGAACACTAACAACCATTCTATAATCATTATCATTTAGAAATGGTACTGAATATAAGATTTCAGCAAGTCTAACATAATACTCAGAAGTTATGTACGTTTTACAAGTACCGTGCATAGCAAAGGCTACAAAAAAGGACAAATTAAACTGGATAACTGGGCCAATTCAACTTGTCTTATTTTCCTCGAAAGATTTAAGATTCTGATTCTGTACATCATCAGGAAATAAAGGAAGAATAATCCATAGTGCAATTGTAATAAGCAAAGTAATATGTAGTGATATCTTTTTGAATAAATATGGCTCACTACTGATCAACTATCATTCATACAGTTCCATCAACACAGCCACCTGTTGCACAGGACAGTTATACACAATTCTACAACAGGTGTAGGTTCAAATAGATAATGAACTACATGGAAAAATATAAAAAGAATATTATACAATCTCATACATAAACCAGACTGTAGTGTAATTGCTTTACTTGTTTAAGTTATCTGAAAAATACTTCAAGTACTTGAAAACAGCGGCAGAGTCGTCTTTCAATGAAAAGCAAAATTGCACTGATTTAAAAATACATTACAAAGTTAAATACACATTCAAATTAATGTCCTGATTTAACATTGCTTTCAGTGTTTACTTTCGTTTCTCAGTACTTCTTGGTTACCTGTGTCCCTCCAGGAGGATCCAGGGTTTACATAAAGAAGTCTCAGACACAAAGTCTGGCTGTTTTATGTATGTAGTCCGAGGAAACTTAAATTAATTTAATCTTTTTCTCCATCTTCGCTGCTTCCTGTTAACAGAGGAAAGGTCATAATGTACAGTGAGATTCTTCTGCACGACCCTCACTTCTTTCCAAGACTCTTCCTAGAACTTGGCCTTCTGCTGCTCTGCACTTCCAAGTTTTGGTTAATCTTTCCCTACGGCCTTCAACTACTGTAAACATTTGGTACATTTATTCACAGACATCTGCTTCAATCACACAGTTCAATGTCACTTCCCAGGACACAAAAGGCAATGCAGGATGTCCAAAACAATCTCTCTTATCTGTAAGTTCCTAAGCAGCAAATATTATCTAATCAATAAGCACAATACAAGAACAATACAACTCTTTAACGCTGATTACACTTTTATAGACATTGCCCATTAGCAAGGCTCTGCAATCAGTAATATTTAGTTTTAATAATGCAATGTGTTATTGAGATTAAAATAATATGCCAAACTGATCCAAGTCTCCTTACTTTTGCTTCTCTTAGCCCTCAGGAAAGTATCAAAGCTTAAATAAGCTTTTTGTTACAGACAAGGCTTATTAATAAATCCACTGCTGGATCTTGCTCTGAAGAGACTGTTTGGCTCTCCCAACAGAAACAATCCTACTCACAGTTCCTGAAAACATGCTGCAGTTCTTGAGAGGATGTCAAGAATGCACTGACTAAAAAGCAATGTGGAAAGAAACTAGACTGTAAAATAAGCTCACACAATAATGTGGAAACATTACACTGCTGGCATCCTCACCTGTGCAATGAAAACACAACTGTGACTTATGACAGTGCAGTAACGAGAATTATCAAGTGCCATAGTGTGGCACTGCTTAAGCACTACAGAGGTTTTATTTATATAAATACAGCAGTGGGGTTTTTTAACAGAAAAATTGAGAGCTTGTCCTATAAGTGTTCCATAGACAGTTCAACCACAAGCTTGTAG